ATTATTATTATTTTTGAGACAGAGTCTTACTCTGTCACCCCAGGTAGAGTGCAGTAGCCTCATCATAGCTCACAGCAACCTCAGACTCCCAGGCTCAAGAGATCCTCCTGCCTCAGCCTCCCGAGTAACTGGGACTACAGGCGTGCACCTCGATGCCAGCTAATTTTTCTATATTTTGTAGAGACGGGTCTCACTCTTGCTCAGGCTGGTTTTGAACTGCTGAGTTCAAGCTATCCTCCTGCCTCGGCCTCCCAGAGTGCTAGGATGACAGGCGTGCGCCACGGCACCCAGCTGATAATGATCGTTATTAAAAAATTGCTGGAACTATAACCCAGAGGCCACCACATATTTACAACTGTTCTTTCAGGATAAATGAAAAAAGACATAAAGATTATGAATTTGTTCATATTCACCATTAGAAGAGTAAAACTTACAGGGCTGAGGCACAGTTTATTAGCACACGAACATTTTTCTTCAAGTTTACTATTGCAGTGGAGTTTAAAAGACTGATTGACAATTTATTAACACTTTTTTGTGTATTTATAATACATAGGTTAAGTGTCTTTAGGGAAAAAAAAACCTACAAAATTTTAAGTAATTAACAACTATCTGAGTAAAAGGGATGACTAGTTTTTATGCATTTTCAGCAGAAAAAAATACTCATAGAAAACAGAAACATGGACACCTGCTCTTTTTTAACATTGCTAGAAACATTGCTAGAAAGAGTATGGAGCTTATACAGTTATCCTGATCACCATTTCTTATATCAGCCCCATGATTTTTTTCTCTTTGGTGTGAAAATATCTTGGCATTTTCATATTTTCTTCTTTTTTCATTTAGATTCTCATTTGCCATGGTTAAGAAACATTGCTTTCTCTGGAATCTCTAAATACTTTTCAAACCTCTAACGGGAAAAGTACTCGATGATACCACACACTCCTTTCTTCCAAAATAACCGAGCACATTGCTGGTAGGCATTACCCTGTTTCATTTCTTATATAAAGTCTATTTCACCCAAGTAGTATGCCAATTTCACACCTGTCCTAAGTTTTCTGAAAGACTTTTGTTGCTTTATTCATCTGCACATTCTTTAATTAATGTCATTATCTTAACAGTTAAAATAAACTTTGTGTTTGGATTTGATTTTTAAAATATTTA